CTTGTCTGATACAGATCATTCACTTGGTTCTTCATCTTTTTCTTCTTCCACTTCTATTCCCATTACCTCCAGCTCACCTAGGATAGCACTCAGCATATGCTGATACTACTAGAATCCCTGGTACATCTCTGCATGTAGATGTAAGCATTAAAGCACTGAGCTTCAGTATTCCTTGGACCCAGCACCACTCCTCTCCATGGTTTCTCACAAAGTGTTTGTGAAGCAATTGGCTTCACTGAAGATAAAAAACATAATTTTTTTCTGGGCTTCCATCCCAGTGTAGATTTCTTCTTTCTCTCAACTCCACTCATTCTTTTGCAGCCTTCCTTGTCAGTGCTTCTATGCAAAGCCGTATGGCTTTATATGTTCCAAATTTATTGCATGTCACAAATATTTGTGTCAGTCAAATATAATGATACGTGGTAAAAAATGCAGCTTTCACTTAGTCATAGCAGCCACTTCACAAAACCATTTTCTAGCGGCTTAGGAGATAACACCAGAAGTGTTTTAAGCACAGACAGAAAAGCGGCTGCCTGTTCTCATGGGGCTTTGGAACTTCACTTTTTCTTCCAACCAACAGGGCATAAGGCACAGAGACAGTTAGATCCAAACTGCAGGAATCCTACATGTGGCACCCTGTCTGCATTCCCACATCCAGATCAAGAATGAGAAACGAAGGCAATTCATAACAGCTATTATGTAAAACATATGCACAAATTGAGGCATTGTGTACACTAGTGTAATTATCCATTGCTGACAATGACTATGCTGGTGCTGAATGTGATTAACCTGCAAGCACAGCCAAGATCTATTCTTGTTTCAGAAAGGCCATGTTAAACCTGCCTGCTTGTAAAACTGTTCTCAGCACTGTTTTAATTGCACCCATTGCTGACACCCGTTGTCAATAACAAGCATTTTCTGCTGCTGTAGACAAGGGTAAAATGTAAGGATGTTGCAGTGAGCCAAAGCTTAAAGCCCTCTCTTAGCTCATATTCTTAGGATTTAAACTACTGGGAAAACTTTATGTCTCTGGCTATTTATTATTACATACATAATGTTCTTGGAAACCACTCCACATATAACAGCAGTTAAACCCATCTGCTGGTCTTGAATTTTCATTTCATTCACAAGCCTGCCTGCTTTGAAAGTATTTTTGGACTCATCACCAATGTGCTATCAAGCTTTTATTATTTTTCTACAAGTCAGTAAGAAGAAAGACTCGAATTTTAAAAGGAAGTTGTAAACTCCTGTATATTTTTAAACTTTTACTTGAAGTTTCTCTTCCCTTCATTATCTGACATGATTGAAATTTGTGGTTTAAACACAGTTATTTGCCACAGAAGTCTATTACCCCATGCTAATGCTGGTTTTTGTGTGACTTGTAATTGCACCTGCATAAATTCTGTAGAATTCATCTAACAGTTACACTGTTGGCATAAGGAACATTTAAACTAAACAGTGTTGGTTCAATTGGTATATTGAAGTTCCTGTAAGTGCAACAGTTTTTCATTGCTTTATTTTAGACACAGTAACACTATTTTCTTTATGCACTTCTTCTCCCTGTATTCATGTTCCATTACTTCTTTTTGGCATAGCAATACTTCCGTGCCCTCTACATCAGATTAGCAGGAACTTCATAGTTCCGTCAGATTTTTATATGATCTTCACTTTCTTCTTCTTCTTCTTCTTATTATTATTATTATTATCAGAGAGAAAAATGTAGGGTTTTTTTTTTTTGTTTGTTTGTTTTCAGTTTTCTTTGAGTAGATGACTTGTTGATACTCTCTGATGTTGTATGAAGGTACCTTTGTAGGACCAAGGGACCTCCCACTACTGTGTATGTGCCATTCCTTTTCCATGACAAGAAATGAATTCTTCCTTAATCCACAAATTAATGAAATTTTCCAGGCAGCCCTCTAAATATGAACATATATAAGCTCTTCTAAAAATTGAATACTTGGACATTGAATCCAATTTCTCCTTAAGTCTTGTTTAAAACTTTGACTTTAAGGTGATTTATCCATTTATTTTTAATATATACAATAATTAGTATATTTCCATTGTCTATTATCAGATAGGGGACCTTCTTGGGGTTGAGATGCAGTTCTCTAAGCCAGGCATCTCCTACTGTTTCAGATATCCTCCAAGATCTGAGGTATTCACAGAACTTTTAAAAATGTCAGAGAGAAGCCCAGGGCCTTATGAATCATAGAATCATAAAATCACAGAATGGTTTGGGTTTGAAGAGACCTTAAAGCTCATCCAGTTCCAATGCTCTGCTGTGAGCTGGTTGCCCCCTACCAGCTTCCCAGGCAGCCCAGGGCCCATCCAACCTGACCTTGAGTACCTAACGGGATGGGGCACCCACAGCTTCTCTGGGCAGCCCATGCCAGTGCCTCACTACACTCTGAGTAAAGAATGTTTTTCCTAACAAATGATCTAAATCTCCCCTCTTTCTTTTTGAAGCGATTTCCTATTGTCCTTTCACTATCAGGCTGTATAAAAAGTCAGTGGCACTCCTGCATAGAAGCTTAAAGAACTGGAAGGCTACATTGAGTTCACCCCACAGCTTTCTCTGCTCCAAGCTCAACAAGCTCAGCTCCCACAGCCTTTCTTCAGAGAAGAGGTGCTCCAGACCTCTGAAGTAATCCTTATGCAGCAGCAGCTGGAGACAAAGTGATAACTTCATGCATCTAATAGCAGCAGAAAAATGTTATTTGTGAAACTCATGCTCACCTTCAGGGTTGCCAGATTTGTAATATATGCTACAAAGCCTATAAATGTTGCTGTTTATAAATACTCCTTTACTTCCTTTTATTCATGAGTGCATTTTACAAAGAGGATTACATTTCTACACCGTAATTCTTCTCCGTGCAATTTCTACAATACAGATTTGAAAACATGCACACATATATGCCTTTTCCCATTGGCTGGCTATTATTCCTCTGGTTCCCAAATAAAATTGCTGAAATTACCAGGAAACCCAAATTTCTGACTGATGAGAGCTATGGAATCATAGTATCAGGGGCTGAAAAGGCTTCATTTCACTATTTCAGCATCATAGCAGTTACGGGATTTTTTCACAGCAGCCAGTTTAGGATGGTATCTTGAGGTTCTGGCCTCAAGTTACCATCTTGAGGCAACTGATCACTATCTCCATGTAATATCCTGTCTTCAGTCTTTGCTATGGTGTGAATTCTAAATATCTCATTATTGTCTTTCTTCTTGTGTAGGTTTCTTTCATTTTTGTTCAGTACCTATCTTAGAACACAGTGTCCTCCAGATGATACAGTTCTGCTGTTTTCTCATAGTCAGTAATTACACTCAGTAGTTATAATTCGTGCCCTTATACACAGGAATGTTTTGAAGGAAAACTGTTTTGAAACAGAAGTTCATTCTTGACTCCTTTTTAGAGAATGATCTCCATATAAACGTTCCTTTCTTTCTATTTTTATATCTGATATTTCTTTCTCCTATTTCTACATTTAAGAGACTATGCATTACATTATGTGATAAGAAAAGTTACTCTAAGAAAAGTTATGTCAAAATATCCTGTCCAAATGAGTTTGATTGAATATTCAGATTTAAATCCATGCAGACCAAAGCAAGATGCGAATGCATCCTCCAAAGATGATCCAGTACCTTTGAGCTCTGAACTATTAGCAGCAGCTTCCCATGTCTGAAAGGACTCTGTTCTTAGCCCACATCCAAGTGCCTCAAGTTTCACAGCATCGCTATAAACGTCAGCTCTTAACAGTACTGTTTTATGACAGCAGTAATGCTTCAAATCAGAGCCAGAAGTCTCTTTTCCTTAGACTATATTTAACAATAAAATGTTGTACACCTTTTTTTTTTTTTTTTTTTTTAATTAGTAGCCATTCTTTATACTGACAGTGTCCTAAGACTTCCTTGAATGTCTTGTTTACCTAGTGCTTGTAAGTGAAATGTCTTGATATTACAGGAGATAGTGGGAAAAAAAAAAAAAAAAAAAAAAAAAAAAAAGAAAGTGCTTTTTGTCCTTTTTCATTTAAAAAGTTATAATTTTTAATAATATATATATATAAATCCTTAAAGTAATATACTACAAGATGGATGTAAGCTTTTCACATACATGTAAAGAATAAGAACTTCATAAAAATGCATTTGAGTACTCTAGGAGTTAAATGTTCCATAAAAAAAAAAAGCTAATAGATGCTGAACTAAAGACCTAAAGACAAAGTAGTTTTATTATTTACACTGTGATCCTTGCCACACAGCTCTCCCTGTTACAGGGCTCTCTCGTATTGTTGTTTTCTGCAATGTCATTGGCTCATGCCTAGTCAGGGGTGTGAATTCATTGCATTGCATTGCAATTCCAATTCACAGCAAATAAATAAATAGATAAATGAATAAATGAATAAATAAATAAATAAATAACCCCACTGTTGGTTAAAACTGAATGTATAGCCTCCTATAAACATCACAAATTCATAAAGATAATATATATAGTCAGTTTTAAAATTTAGAAGAAGCAGGATTATTTCTAATTTTAGCTGGAAAGAGGTGGACTGTAAAGAGAATATTTATTCATTCCTTTATAGCATTTTTGCTTGATTTGCTAATAATTACTTGTGATTGGTAGATGTTTCATACTGAAAATATACTGAAATAAAGTAGTGCAGTGTTAATTCTCATGAAATATTTCTTCCTTGCTTGTTCTTCCTTGAAGGAAAAATAACTATTCCACAGGCATTTCTAATCAATAACACATTGAATATTATAGAACATAATGCTTTTTCATTTATGTTAAATAGCCTCTGGGCACTTCAGCGAGTATTTAGAGATTGAAAAGAATAGATGGTATGCCAGATTAATTCCCAGAGCAGTTATAGCAACAGATTCTCCTCACCTCTGAAAATCAAACTGGGAAGAGAAAGTACACAACTAAGCACCATATGCAAGCATAATGAAAAATCTGAGTTTGGAACGTGTCCTGAGTAGATGTCTCTATGTACTTCCAGAAAGGCCAAGAGGAAGAGAATCCCACAGGTAGAGGCCTTCAGCTGGGACCTTTCCCTGAAATGGAATGGACTAATGCACAGGTGAGAGTAGTGAACTGAGCTGTGGGGATAAAAGTGAGGAAAGGCAATAGTTTCTGGACTGCTGCTTCATAGTTTTGTTTTTGTTTTTGTTTTCAATTTCTTTGTTGAACACCTCAATAATTGACAAGATTCTGAGGCACAAAAAATTTTGCCTCAGCTACCCAGTGATTAAACTGAAAATAATTTGCTCTTTTAAGAAAAACAATTTAGCCTCACCTGGCTTTTGACATCTGAGCAAGTCAACAATATTGCCATGATATTAAATGACTCTTCCTGATCGCATTTCATACTGGTTTCGGGTGTCTCCTATAGATTGAGGTGGATTGTGTCCTAAAAATGATTGTCTCTTTCCATTGTCTAGATCTCTCTCCATTGCCTACACACTCTTTACAGTCAAATAACAGGTATAAATGCCTAGATTTTACATATCTTCTGTGGTGAGGAAAATTTCAAGTTTTATCTTTTTGAAATTTATTTATTCTCTGTTGGCCTAGAATTGATACCATCAGTTCATGAGTGTTAGTAGGCAGGCTTTCCTGGGAAAGGAAAATTAAGTGTATTTATGTTGAATGTTAAAGCTGTCATGGACTTGAGAAACCTGACAGACAGCAGCACTGATGAAGATATTTCTTTTTATCAAACGGCCTTTCTAGTAAAGGAGTTATCATTGAAATTATTACAATAAAAAAACTCCAATTCAAAAAAAAAAAAAAAAAAAAAGACGACTCTATTGCATGAGGATACAAACCTCCATACATTTCTGTTATCAAAATATTCGATTTGCTTTATGCTGCATTTGTGTTCTCAGCTTTCAGTGTATGACCTCCTGCTATTATCGTAATAGACATGAGAGAAACTTGATATTTTGGTTTCTTGCCAGCTGGGTCCTTTGGAATCTCAGGAGGAAAAGGAGACACGTTAAGATTTCAGGATAATGCACACTAATGGGATATTTCTGGTAAATGTAGTCTACACTGATATGTTGCTGATGTCCAAATTGCTATCTTTTGATTTCAGAGTTAGCAAGACACAGGGATAAATAGACAGATGATCATTCTAAGTGACCCTTGCAGAGCACTCTGCCAGGTGGACATCAATTTATAATGGCTAATGATGTTTAAGTAATTTTCACGAATAATAGGGAAAAAAATATGGGTAACTTAAGGTTGAATTCAGTGTTAAATGTAATGAATAAGAATTCTTACCGTCTGTATCTTAACACTCTGTTTCTGCCTACTATGATTTTGAAAATGGCCTAATGAAATTTATTTCTTGGTATATTTTGGATGCACATAACTAATTCTTACTGCTTTTTTAACACCTTCAAAGAAAAAAAATGAAGCTAGTCAGTCACTCTTTAATTAATCGTGTCATTTATTCACACAAAGATGAACAAAAAGCTCTTCAATACTGAGTGGCACACAGTAGGAGGCAAGTGCTGTTTGCTCCTTAACAAGCCCATATGGTAGTAGGAGATCCAGTGTCCCTACTATGCAAACAGCACTGAATCTTTAAAAGCATGTTAAACAACATCTGCTGGTGATAAAATAAGTAAATTAGAAAGCTCATTACTTGTTAACTTTCGCCTAAGAGCCATAAAAAAATCAAGCTGAAGAGATATGTGGAATATTTTTGAAATTCTGGAGTGTCAGTATTGTGCTATTTATTTTTATTAAAAAAAAAAAAAAAAAATCTGCAGAGCAGGTTACCTCGAAGTCATCTCTGGGAAAAAATATTGGCATGATTAAGGAATATTTAGCTGAAAAAGCAAGCATAATAATAAATTTATGGTTAGAATAAGTTGATGATATTCAGCATAGGTTTAAAGCAAAGCAATTATATCAGATAAACTTCATTTCAGACTGTGAGTTTGTTAGATGAATGTCCCTAAATGTTGTAGAGGTTTTAGTAAGGCATTTCATTTAATATTACACTGTATCTTATTTTAATAAATAACAGTATACTTTATCAAAGTAATACTCATTAAGGACTGATTAGCTGACATAGCGAAGTACCAGTAGATGATAAATGGCCCTTTCATGGAAATACTGAGAGATAGTTTCCATGATTTAGAATTGGCTGTAGATGACATGTTTCAATGTTAGCTGAACTGACTTGGAAGGTGGCACAAATTCATGGATGGCAAGATTTGCAGATCATGCAAAGATTTAAAAAATAGAAGAGAAGGGAGAAGTCAGATGGAGCAGTCCAGTTACAGTCCGGCCTGGTCAGCAGAATCTATTCAAACAAAGTGTTTATTACCTGGAAGAGAAGGATTACACAGCCAGAGGGAAGAAATGTCATCCACACAAACAGAGGGAACCCCTAACCTGGAAATAGATGACTGTGAGGTGGTTTCAGACTAAAGAACGGGCAGCTCAGCAAAGGTTTATGCAATGATCTTTTAATGTTAGATGATTAAGGGAAGAATAAGGATAAGATTATAGTTGTATATAAAACAAGAGTCTTGTTTCATATTGTTGTGCCAAGTTCTAGGGTCCATACCTTTAAAAGTTACTGAATATATATTTTCAGAGAGAGAATATAGACTAGAACAGAGAAAAATTCCTCCAGAGAGAGACTTCTCTCTCTCTCTCTCTCATAATGACAGTGCATTTCTGTGGGGAGACTAGGAACAAGGGGATTCTTCAACGCAGCAAAGGAAAGCAGAATACATACGATAGTGAAGCCAAACAAATGCTGGACAGGACTTTTCAGCAGTGAGGATGCAGGACAAATTATGCCAGGAAGTTGTAAATTTCCATCTCGCTATGTTTCTGAAATAGATATGCACTCTTATTTAAGATACTTTTGTCAGACTTATGAGCTGTGGTACATTAGGCTAAACTCAGTGATACAGTGATACTCTCCGTTTTGAATTCTGAATCTTTTAGGCACCTGATCTCTGGTCCAGCAGACTCAGCAAAATCTTCAGTGAAGGAATGTGGGATTAGATGATAGGGCTGAGTGAGATTCACCTAGTCTAAGGCAGTCTATCACTTTCTTCCCCAGCTACCAGCTTAAATGAAGATATGTGGAACTGTATTACAAGGTCTAATGAGAGCATTGACTTTCATTTACCTTCCTTCCTGTGGATGAATGGAGGCAGGCTAGCAATGCTTTCCTAATTTTTCATTTAGTTCAGTATGAGATCTGCAGCTCAATGCAAACTTGAATCAATTGGATGCTACCTATAGCTAGTAGAAATCAATTCTGTTGGCCTCTTACCTGAATAGGCATCTCACAAAAACAATGAATTAAATAAATAATAAAAATAAAACAAAATGATGCCTGCAGTCCACACTTCTATTATCACTGTTCCATGGGAAAAAAAATCCAAATATCTTAGAAAATCCTTAGGTTCACCTGATTGCTCTTTTCTTGGAAATGTTCCCTTTCCCTTTCTCTTTTTCCTTTCCCTTTCCGTTTTTCCCTTCCAATACACAAGATATATAGATACCTCAGTATATCCTGGCCTAGATGACAATGAAGGCTAAATCCTGCCTAGGTCACTGATATCTGGAATAATTTTCCTGTATTGATTTATAATCTAGACGTGGTAAATGTTGATTAAAACCATAAGATCTGTTAGAGAAGGTTTGATGTTTTTTCAGTATTGTGTGACTGATATCTACATCTCTCTGATGTTTTGTACAACTAATTGTAGATCAGTTGGCCTATAAAATGAGATTCTGAACTTAAGATACGTTGTTTCATTTTCTGTCTTTGCAGCTAGTCTTGAGTCATTTGGGTCAGCTTTCTTCATTCTCTTTGCCTTTGTTTTCCTATCTGTAAAAGGGAGATTGAAAATTGTTTTGAGACAAAAAAAAAAAAAAAAAAAAAAAAAAAAAGAAAACAACAACAAAAAAAAAACCCAAACATCATATTTCCTGAACAGCTATTAGAATTTTTCTGTTTTACATAGAACATTAATAATTGTAGACTATTACACATACTATCAGAGCAGTGAATGATGTTTTCTCACAGAATAACAGTCTAGCACATTTAGAGGTAAGAGGAAACCAAGGCTCTGAGTCTATAGTAGACCATTCAACCTCTAGAGTAATTAAAATTGAATTTGATTTACCCTCCCTGTTCCTAAATATCTCATTTTAGCAATAATTTTCTGGTACTTTGCTTTGACTTGCATTGAACATAAGCTACCTTCTTTGAAGTACCACGAAGCATAAATTTGGCCTAATTGTTCTCTGTCATTCAGAGAAAGTGACTTTAATCTGCAGCCATGCAAGGACGGAAAGGTATATTGCTCAATTGTGAAATTAAAAAGCAAAACACAAAAAACAAAAAACACACATTTTCATGGCTTATGTTCAGCAAATCTGTCTTCGACTTAACATTTAAAACAATTAAATAGCTAGATAATTAGAAGTCTAAGCCGTTAGCCTAGTCCTAGGGAGAACCGTTGAAAATTGGTTTATTTGGGGTCCATCTCTTCCTGTTGTCGCTTGATTTAGCCTCAGGTTCTAAGATCTTTGAAGCTTAGCCACTTCAATTTTACTTCTGCATTTGATTTGTACATTGGAATCCCAGTCCTTAACACTGACATCAAGATGTAGCAATGGGTATAGGGCAAAACAGAAACCAACGTTCTGTCAATGATCTTAACATTTAATCTGTGGAAAGGACAACTGGGCTCTTATAATCCTTACTATAATTTGAAAATAATAACAGTGGCATAGTTTTCATCTCAAAAGCTACCTGTATTCAAGTGGAATTTTCTGATATATAGATCCACTCCCTTTGTATATTCAGGGTCATATATATTACCATAATTGTTTAGATACTTCCTCTGCTATTTTTTCAGAAATTTCCTATATTACTACAGAATTATAAACTCATTTCTTGCTAAGAACTTTTGTGCTGAAAACATGACATGGGTATCACATCTAATTTTGCCTGCAGTACCTTTTTATTATTCATGATTACACATGAGCAGTAGAGAATTTGGAGGTATGCTTTATCAGTTTATTAGCCCTCCC